CATGCCCCCCCCCCCCCCCCCCGTGAGCATGTGTGTGGCGAAACCCGAACAAGGCAGCACCCACCCACACCTTGGAGGGGTAGGTCGGCCGGCGTCTTCAAAGCCTCCCCAGTGGTGGTGGAGACGGTTTCCATTTCAGAGGGTCGGGAGAGGGGATGCATCCATCGTCGACGCATCCATCCATCGTTGGTTGTTGGAGGTTCTCTGGTCCCTGCGTGCTTGTCAGCAGCTGCGCCTCGCCGAGAGCACTCCGGAGGTTGCCCGAATCGTCCCGAGCGGTCGCCTAAGGCCCGAGTTATGGCCCGAAAACCATACCTCCAACGCATTGAACAAATATGTGTGGAAGTTGTTCCGCCATTTTCGGTTCTTTGGGGCCCACGCCGGGCTCCATGGCCATCTAACAGCACATCACGTATTACCAACATAGCACGGCATAGTTTAGCACAGCATGGTTCATGGTGTGAGAGCATTGCGCAGCATGGCTTAGCAGATAATGGCAAGGAATGTTATGGCGTATTATTGAACACCACCGCATGGTATAGCACCGCAGCGTTTGGTGTCTAGCATAGCATGGTATCGCATGGCCTAGTACTGAGTATCATAGCGTAGCATGGTACAGCACAACATAGGACCCACCACTATGGCATGGCACTGCGTAGCACCGTGGAGCATGGGATGTCCTTGCATGGCGTATCGTTGCACACCGTGGCCTCGCACACCATAGCAGCACACATGCGCTCAGAACCTGTCGTATAGCATTCCGTAATAGCGTGTGCAATTGCAGAACGTTGAACACGGTAGCAACGCATCACTTAAGATTTCGATTGAGAGAATTGCATATCACCGTAATTGCGGTAGCATAACATTGGTAATTCATCGTTTCGTATCGCCTTCCAAGTAATGCCGTATCAGCGCATAGCACGGCATTCCATTGCATAGCCTAGCACAGCGTAGTACAAAGTTGTTTGATTTGCGTGATCGCTTGGCGTATGAGCAGCGGTTATAGCAGCACTGCTGAACGTATACTAGCGTAGCAAACGCATGGTGTGCAGCGTCTAGACAAAATGGCAGTGGCGCAGTTGTACAGTTCCTGAGAGAACCCAAGACGCATGGTATTGCATTGCATCTCCGCGTCGCGTACCCTTCTAGAGCAGCGCATAGGATGGCGTTGCATCGCGCGGAGGGGCATAGAACACAAGGCCATAGGGCTCATGACTTTGGGGAAGCGCTCGTGGGCTAAGGAACGAGGGGCCTGTGCGAATCGAATCCAGTGGACACATCAAAGCAACGAGCCCTCAGGCGCAGCTTAATCCAGGACGGATGCGAGTTTCCACTTGTATTTGTCCGCTGAGTACACGGCGAGCACGGCTCTCAAGACTCAGTCACGACAGGCCCGCCTTGAGTGATCGGATGGCACTTCGGTCGTGGATGCGGAAGTGTTGCGCCCTGTTTGTTACATCTGCGCGCTAGTTTTACCGCTCGTCATGGCAGCGGGCATCCACATCGGGCATCAGACAGGGCCAGGGCTCATTGAGATCAACAGGGACGTGGGAGAGAGGACGCCCTTCCCGTCTCATGCTTCCCATTCTCTCTACTCGCCCCTTCCCTGTTGGTCAGAACTGTTCTGTTGGCCAATGTCGAAAAAAAGGTCATGAGGCGCTCATCGGGAGATGTCCAGGCTCCGGTGGTTCTCGTGTGTCCGCTCTCGGTGCGGTCGCCTCCGCACCCTTCTGAAGAGCATTTCAGTCCTAGGCCACTCCCTGGGCATCGGCGTGCGCAGCTTGAGGATTCCGCGGCAAAATCTCCGACATGTTCGCAAGGCAGCGTCTTCCGCGCGTCTGGCGACATTCCTGCCGTTCTGTGATGGCTCCGTGGCCCTGCGGTGGTGGTGCGGAAAGAATCGTCTCACTCCCCCCGCCATTCCTCGGCCCCGAGTCGGCCAGTCGACGCTTGGTGGAGGCTCGGTGGAGGCGGGTGTGCACTCCCCCTCTGCCCCGAGGAGGCGCAGAGGCAGCTGCAGGCCGCACAGGAGCTCTCCGACACGAAGGCCGGCGAGGCCCTGGAGCGGCTCCGGGGCGAGCAGCGGGATCTCCGCCGCCCGCGCGATTCTTCTCTTGCTGCTGCTGCTGCTGCTGCTGCTGCTGCTGCTGCTGCTGCTGCTGCTGCTGCTGGGCTGGCTGCTCGTCCACCTGACTACGCCCCCGCAACTGCTCCGACCACTTGCGAGCCCTGCCCCTGCGGGTCCAATCGACGCTGGGGGACCAGACCCACCCGCCGGGGTTCACTTGGCTACAGCCGCCGTGGCAGAAAAGTCGGACCTACAGGGGCAGGGTCCACATGCGACTGCCCACAGAGGCAGCGGCCCCAGGTGTCGGAAATGGCTGTGCCGGCCCATACTTTGCCTGTCCGCCCGCTTGGTGGGTGAACACCCAGAGGGTGCCACATGAATCCAGCTTCTCGCAGCCTCCCCATCCGGCAGATAGCACACGCCCCGACGGGGGGTGCACTCATTCCAAGACGAGTTGCAGAAGGGGGGCCAGACAGTTACCACAGCGAAGGGAGCTGCGTCGTCCAGCAACGCGGGCCAGGCAGATGGCACACTTCACTGGTCGCTTTTGCAAGTGTTATCTGGAAGGTGTTTCAAATATTTTGTCCCCCCACCATCCGGGAGGTGCCTCGTGGCATTTAGAGGCGCAGGGGGGGCGGGGGGGGGGACGGGGGCCGAGGGGAGGCACGCGCGTGCACCGAGTCAGCCTGGAGCGCACGGGCACGAGCCCAGATCTGCCCGGCTCGCCCAGGTGCTTCGGGGTGGGGCGAGGGCGGAGACGGAGACGAGGAGACGGTCCCGGAGCAGGTCGTGGAGGCCTCCCCTGCCCTGCCCCGACCTCCGGCTGGTCGCCGGTGCCGCTCCTCCGCTCGTGCCTGCTCCTCACCTGCAGCTGCGCCCCGCGCCCGCCAGAGCGGGCGCGCCACTGCCCGCCGCGCATGTCGCCGTCGCCGTCGCGTCGAGCCCTCTCTCGCTCTCGCTACTCCCGGGCCCCCTCGTGCAGTCCTTCGGTTTCCTCGGCAGGCGGCCGGACTTCGCAGACACCCCGGCGCCTTCTGAGAAGTGGCCTGAGTCTTCGGGGACGGCTTCGAAAACTTTTCAGAAGACCGGGGGACTTCAAAAGCCTTCTCAGAAGGCCCGCCCCTCCTCACTTCCTCCCCGGCTTGCCGCCGACTTCTGGGCCTCTCAGATGTGGCCGGAGCGCATGGGGTCGGAGGATCGCCGATGCATCGGCGATGCGGCTCGATGTGGATCCCGATTTTCTCTACGCCGTCGTCGCCGATGCATCACCGACGTCGCCGATGCATCGCCGATGCACCAGTGATGCATCGACGATGCGGCACGATCCTCCGACCCCAGATGCTCCGACCCCACCTGGGAGGCTTCTCGTAGTAGAAAATCGCGTGCCCCCGAGACCCCCTCGCGTCGCGAGAACAAAGAAGAACACGACGGTCGTCGTTGTTGGCCGTTGTCAGTGCAGTCTTTGGGGGTGCTCTCGCCGGGCCTCGGAACCGCCAAGGAACGGCTGGGGCATGGGGTCGAGACTCAGGGGACCCCGCATGGAGAAACAATGCCTCGGATGTCTGGGTCTCGTGGGGACCACCTGGCCCCCACGTGCGGGCCTAGCCGCGTCTTGAGCATCGAGTCTTGGGTCCTTCGCCCGTGCCCCCGTCCACCCTAGCCACCCTCGGGGAGTCTTGCCCCGACGCGGCGCAGCGTGATGCTGGGCTCTTGCGTCCCGCAGCTGCGCCCTGGTGTGCCGGCTTTGCCGACCCTGTGCTCTGTCATGTCTTGCCGCCGCTCTGTCCATTGCGCTGGGGAGGCAGCGACAAGCCGACACCCCCCCCAACCCCGAGTCCCCCGGCCCTCGCACGCGCGGCGAGGAGCGCGACGCCGCGATCGAGGCCGCAGCGGTGCGTGACAAAGAGGCACCCGTCCCACCGTCGCCGCCGCTCCCACCCCCCTCGCTCCCTCTTCTGTTCCGCCTTCTGAGGGGCGAGTGGGGCGAGGACGAGGGGTGCGGGGAGGGCGATTCCGAGGGAGGGAATGGTGGCGAGAGCGAGGACGCCAGAGGCAGGGCGGCGATGGGGGCGAGGAGGAGGAGCAGGAGGAGGAGCAGGAGGAGGAGGAGGAAGAGGAGGAGGAGGAGGACGTGGCAGTGTTGTTGGAGGAGGAAGGAGGAGGAGGAGGAGGAGGAGGAGGAGGAGGAGGAGGAGAGAGGAGGAGGAGGAGGAGGAGTTGGAGGACAGGGAGGGCGACGACGACGACGGCGACGGCGACGGCGATGAAGTGAAGGAGGAGGAGCAGAAGGAGAAGGAGGAGGAGGAGGGCGACAAGGAGGAGATGGTGGCGAATGAGGATGACGAGGAGGAGGGCGAGGAGCACCAGGGTGAAGGGGCAGCGTGTCGGCTGCGTCTTCGTTGTTCTCTCCGCTCTGCCACACCCCGATCTGCGGGCGCACGGGGCGTGATGGGAGGAGGAGGATTGGACCGCGTGTGGCCTCACCTGAAAACCCTTGCACGGGGTTGGATCACATCAGCTTGCGTCGGCATCTTGTCTCAGAACGGGTGTCGCCTCGGATGCGCGGATGAGTGTCTCGGCATCGAGACTGCTGCGCCCGACACCTCCTTGCTGTTCCCCGTTCCGACATTCCCATTGACCCTCCTATCCGTCTTAGGCTTGGCCCTCCGTCTGCCTGTAATGAAGCCAGCGGGTATGATTTTTCTCACGCTAGGCCGAGCGAGCTGGCTCACGACTCTGGCATTCCACATCTCTCGCAAACTGCGCGGAGAACTCCAAGTACCACAACATCTCGAGGGTTCCCGCAGTCTTTCCATGTCTTTCTTGTCGTGTGCGGCGCTCGTGGCGATCGCGGCATCAAGGTCTGCCCCGCCCCCACCAGCCCTGCTTTTTCCGACCAGCTGAGGAGGAGGATCGATCAGAGGGTACGTGCGTTCCCTTGTCCCCACTCTCTTCCCGTCCTCCCTCCCTCCCTCCCCCATCCCCCAAGCATCCCCAAGCACAACTCCTACGCGCCTTTGCTAAGCAGGTGGGCTTCGACTGCGCGACGGCGCTTCTGGACTTGTCGAAGTTCTACATGTTTCGTGGCGGTCCCTGTACGATGCGGCCGTCGAGTTCCAGTTTCCCCTGCGACTGCTGAAGGGCCTCTGTATGGTATGCAGTGGCTTCGGGAGTGTCCTTTATGGTGGGGCCGTGAACGATAGCATTCGAGCCAATGGCTCCATCATTGCCAGATGTTCGGCAGCCACGGCGCTCGCGAAGTTCGCTCTCCTTCGACCGCTGCGTGCTGCACGCGCTGGCCGCTTGGGACTCCAGATACGGGACATCGTCGACAATGTCGTATTGCAGGCAATCGGGACTCGGGACATGGTGGTCACCAGTCTATATGGAGGGGTGAAGTCTCTCCTGGTCCTTTTCAGGAACCTCGTGAGCCTGTGATCATCGACAGGTGCAAATACCTTACCAGTTCTTGTCACTTGGCAGCAGCCCTCAACGTGGCCTGGAGCCTGCCTGCGACGGCCCGGGTCGACGGCATGGGGTCGTTTAGGCGGGTCTCTGCGACAGTTCAGCGCCAGGCGCGTGTTAGGCGGCGCGGTCGCGGGCATGCTATCCTGCGGCAGGCGGGCGCTGACGCCACTGGGGTTCACCGAGTTGGCGTCGCGTTGCGTCCTCTGGCATATGGGACGAAGGCATCATGGGCCTTCCGCCTACCCAACTCCACGGTCTGGGAGTGAGCGCGGTGACGAGCATGGGCCGCCTGCCCAAGGAAGCCAGCGTGGGGCTCAGTCTTCATTCCCACCTCAGTGGCGGCCGCGTGGACCCGCTGGTCTTGAACAAGGCTGAGGTGCTGCTGCAGTGGCGCGAGGCGATGTGGTCTGGCACGGTGAACCCCCGGGTGCTGCAGGTGACGTTGAAGTTGGGCATCTGGAAGCTCGAGGCCTCCGAATGCTCCTGGAGGGCGGCCTGCTCGCCAGCAGGCGTCTTGGTGCTTGCCCTGGCACGCGTGGGCTGGAGCATGGTCAACAGCACGACCATCCGCACCGACACGACGGAGGAGTACGACATCCACCGCGCATCCCCTTACCAGCTCTGGACCTTGGTGGAGGCAGCTGCTGATCGCGCCTCGGACATAATGGCCCCCAGCAGGCTGGAGCAGGGCATCCGGAGCTCAGCCCAAGGAGGAGAGGCAGGAGGACCTGGCCATCCTAGATCCCTCCCGATGTGCTGGAGCGGTCTCAGACCCCTCCTGCAGCGCGCGACCGCGGTCTGGACCGCGAGGCACCAACGCGCCCTTAGAGCTTGAATTTGCAATACAGTTTGGTGCCAGGCCCGTCTGTTAGGGCACGGCCTCGCTGTAGAGGGTACCTGCCGGCTCTGCGGAGGCACCGTCGGCACGCTTTGGCATCGATGTTACGAGTGCCCGGCGCACGACGCTCTACGACGAGAGCGAGTGGGCATGCGCCATCGGCAGAGGGCAGCCCGAGTCCGTGATTGGAGTGCGGAAGGCGCGGAACGTTTCGCACGAGGGGTCATGCCTTCCCAAGCCATCTTGCTCCCGCGAGTGGCGCCTACGGAGCTGATCACGTGGGTGAATCGCCCTGCCGACGGCCTCTTCAGTGGCACCTTGTTCTCGGATGGCAGAGATTCCACGTAGAGATCCTTGAGTTGGCGCGCGCGGGCTGGGCGGTCATCCAGGTCGACCGGTTCGGTCGCATGGTCTCTTGGGCGTACGGGCCCGTTCCTTTCTGGGCGGGCCCGCGACAAACTTCTAGAGACGGCGAGGACTTCGCCATCTTCATGCTGTGCGACCTCGCCGGGCCAGGCACCCGAGAAGTCTAAATCAACTGCCAGGGCACGGTGGACACGCTGCAAGGCGGACCCGGCACCGGGGCCCGGGCTCAGGATCAGAGACCTCGCCTATGGGGACGAGTCTGGGGACATTTTGGCGCAGGGGACCTGTTGGCCCATAAGACGTTGGGGAATGCCACGGCTGCCGACGTCGACGCGGGACGGTCCACGCACTGGGAGCGGGCTGCCAACCATGCCGTCGACGAGCTGGCCAAGCTAAGAGCCCAGATGCATTCGGGCAGCACTGCCACAGAAGTGCACAGCTGTAGCGAGGCTTCGAGGAACTCGCTCGCGAGGGCGCTCGTTGGTTCGGTGAGCTGCGGAGTGTCATGGGGGACAGTGGTGTGAAGGGCTACGACGCCACCGTACTAGGCCCGGCCAGCGCCACGCTGGAGCAGGAGGCAGGGGAACGCGATGCTGGAGCAGCGGATGCGCATGACGGTGAGCCGTCCGACCGCATGGTCTCCGGGGCGAATGAGCTGGACGTCCAGGATGCGCCCCTCAGCGGCCAAGCTGACGGCTCCGAGCGTCCGCGGCTGCGCAGCCAGGACGAAGTCGAGCTTGAATTCGCATGGGATGGGTCGTGGAGCCATTATTGGGGATTGGCTCTGAGGCTCGGTGGGCATGCTTTTCTAGGTTTCCGCCTCGTTGAGCGCCCTGCTGAGTCGTTACCTTTTGTCTCCAATGGGGGGGGCTTTTTTCTCTGCCTCGGAGCCCATTAGGAAGATGCTGGGCTGGTGTCGCGGGGGCCAGGCAGTGCGGCATGTTCGCGCGCAGCTGCGTCGGATCACCCAGGGTAGGTTCCCTGGCACTCGGGCTCGCACGAAGGATCTGCACATAGAAGCTCCTGTTGGAATCGACAGGGCATTGGCAACCAAGCTGCGGGGCATTTGGGAGCTGCAGCCTGCCGCGATACCCGCAGCCCGTGTGCGCTAGGCGGATGGGGCCGATGCTGCCCCAGTGCCGGTCCCGAGCCAACAGGACCAACGGCATCTGTTGCTCATCTGTCTTGGTTTAGTCGAATCCGACCTCGATTGGGTCGTCGACGTCGGCCGGCTAGCAGTTGCAAGAGGTAGTGAGCACGATAGCGACTTGGCTTTTCTGAAGGAGAGAACCTCAGAGTCTGAGCGAGGCATTGTGACAATCCTTGAGACCACACGCAACAACCTCCCCGATCCCCCTCCTCTTTCCCCTCCTTCCCCCTACTCTTCCCCTTCCCCCCTTTTCCTGTCCCTCCGCCTTCCCCCTCTCCTGCCAGCGCTGCCTCAAAACCAAACCTCGCAATCTTGGTGGCCGCGGGCCGCCTCGTGCTGAATGGCGGCGCTTCTCCTGGCAGTGCCAGCAAAAGCCCGTCGTTCGGGCGACAGCGCCGCGCGCCGCGCTGCGAGGGTAACCGCGTTGAACTCCCCACGACGCGCTCAGCAACAATCCGCCTGTATTACGGCGCCCGCGCTGTGGATTCTGACACTACAGTTGCTCAGAACGCGTCGTCTCTCATGCTCCACGCATGGATGCCCACTCCCATCCTGCGATCGCGTTTTATTTCTGCTCCTTCTACTTGCGCCGGATTGCGCCATCAAGCGTCGCGCACTTGCCACCAAGCGGGCTTTTGCAGGAGACATACACGCGCCCTGCGGGCGAAGCGAAGGAGCATCCTGTTCGTGCCAGCGCCGGCAGTCGCGCGCGAAAATCAGGTGTGATGAATGCCTGGGTCGCTTCTCGTGAGCGCCGAGAAACCTTCAGGCGCGATGTGCGGTGACACGTGGATCGCGCAGGCAAGCCGCATACGGATTGTTCCATGTGCTGTGTGCAAAGCATGAAGACTTGCCGATGTGACCGTGGCGATTCTTGGGGCGTTCTTGGGCCAGGATGGGGCGATCGTCGGATGCGGGAAAAGTCGAGAACGTTGGCATCTTTCAACAACGTATGGACACTGGTGGTTGCGTTTTTGGGCCTTCTTGGGGGTTTCTTGGGCTGTCGTCAGTCCACTTTGCGCGTCTTGGAGCGCTCTTGGGCCGTCCCGGGGGCCTCTTTGGCGCCTCTTGAGGCCCTCTCGGCCCCTTAACGGCCTCCTGACAACGCGAGCGGGCCCCGGGAGGCACGCGATAAGCCACGGGATTTTGGCGGGCTTGTGGGCCCGTTGAAGGATTGCTCAATGCCCAACGTTGAGGACTGAGGGCTCCCAAAGACCTGAGGGCATTCCATTTCGCGCGTCGAAGCACAGTGGCGGATCGACGGAAAGCCTGCGCATGTCCTTTCAATCGTCGAAGTCTGAATCGCGTGCCTGGTTGTACTACAGCAGAAAAATCCTCTTGACATGTAGTGGTAATTCCTACACCAGACACTGCCCGATGTCGTTCGCCAAGTGCACAGGGCCTGTTACATGGAGCGTTCGTGGGGGGGGAGGCTGCATGGCCCGTAAGTATCTTTAAGGCCCAGTGCCACCCGCTCACAGCGGTCCCCGTGAGCGGTGACACCCAGTGCGGCTGAGGGGTTGCCACGGTCTCCTTCTTTCACTCGTGGTTCCATCGCTTCTCTGGCGGAGTTCAGTGGGCCCACGTCTCCCCCCCGCGCCCCCCCCCTTCTCCCCATCCTCTTTCGCTGCCCCTGCTGTTTTGCCGCTGTCCCCCCGTCTACTCCTGCTGCTCTGCCCGTCCTCCTGCTCCTGTCCTTTCCCCCGTGCCGCTGGCGTTCCCGGTCGACCTCCCTGATTTCGGATCCGCCGCACGTCGATTAATTTTCCTGTTGGAAGCAATGTCGGAAACGCACCCCAAACGATGCGAACAAGTGGGGCGGAAGATCAGCCTCCTAAGCACAGGGCTGATGTTTCCGCAAGAGTATGGCGGAAACGGCAAGGGCGAAGTGGGGCAAACACCGACACCGAGGGAGCTTGAACAGTAGGGCGGGAGTCTCCGTTCTACTTGCGAAATCGTCCAAAGTACGGCGTATGTCCGAAGTCAGGCCCGCTCGCCGCAAAGAGATTGTCCCCGAGGAACTGCGCGTCTCGGCCAGCGCTGCTGTTCAGGACCGCGCCCCTCACACAGCCAAGGAGAAGGGGGGAAGACTCGGGCACCTAGTCAAACTGGAGCCGGCTCCGAGGGCTGAGGTGGCCCATCAATGGCGTACGGCGTTTGGGGGTTGTTTTCGTGCCCCGGGGCCGCCGGAAATCCAGTTGGAGCGAAAAGCTGGTCCGGATGTACCCGAGGAGGGGTCGGGGGACCGATCCTGATGGGGATACCTTTTCCCCTCCCGCTTGCAGCATGTTCGGCTTGTGGTGCTGGGCTCCGACGTTGTGGCACCCAGCGGAGGAGTGGGGGGCGTGAGAGCGAGCCCGTCGTTGGGGCCCTACAGGACGCGACGGGCCCAGGGGTCCACGCGGCGCGCCCTTTAAGAGGTGTGTGGCGATGTTGGATCCGGGCGCCCTGAAGGGTCTTGCGACGGGGGTCCATGCAACAAGGGCTCCCTCGAGGGCGCGAAGTTATTCGCGCTTCGCGCTTCGCGGTCCTCGTTCCTTCTCCCCCTCCTCCTCGTCCTCCTTTTCTCCCTTTGGGGGGGCGGCGCGAGAGCGCGAAGTTATTCGCGCTTCGCGCAGCGCGAAGCGCGAAGTTGGGAGCCCTAGATGCAAACGGGGGTCAGCCAGAGCGCCAGACCTTGCAGGGTCCTGCAGGGCCAGAGCTGCACTGACGAGGGCAAGTGCGCACGATCCTGCAGGATGGCGCAGCATCCTGCAAAGCTCGGCTGGCCCGGGTTTGCATCGACCCTGGTCGGCTGATCCCCGACTTGATCGGGAGTGCACAGAGGGAGGCTTCTTCCGAGGTGGGGCTGGGGAGCGGGCCCAGTTGGATGCTTCCATTTAACGCGTTTCTTTCGTCCAGGAGCGGTTCGGAGCGATTTCCCCTTCAACCCCACGTTTGCCCCTGTCCCACCTTTGTCCAAGCATCTTCTTTCGGGTGGAGGACACAAGGTGAAATCTGAAATGCCGTTTCGATGGATGCTCGAGGCCTGAACCTGCAAAAGATGGATCACAAGACGTATTGGTCTTCGAGGTGCAAAAGCCCACATGGATCTCACCCTAAGCCCTTCATCCTGAGAAAATGCTCGGCTCTGTGCCCCCCCAACTTGGAGCGGACTCGTCTGCACCCCTCCCCTGCGTCACAGCGTCTCTGCGGGCCCATCCTCGGCGCAGAAGCCCCCCCGAAGCCGCCTCCGAGGGCGCCGCAAGGAGAGGGGGGGAGGCTCGGGTGCTGAACGTGGGTGGCGTCCTGGCCCGCCCACAGGCTGCCAAATAATGGTCTAATAATCTTTGGTGGTCTGCACGAGATGTTCTTAGAACATCTCTTGGCTGGGACCGGGCTTGTGTTTTAAGAACGTTGTTATTTGTTCTTAAAACATTTCTGGGTTCCGAGAACATGTCGTGGTAGGCCTATAGGACTGCCAGGACGGTCGGTCCCTGCTCAACAGACTCAGGACTCGGCAGCGAGCGAGGGGGGAAGTGAGAAGGAGAAGGCCTTCTCAGAAGGCGGCGGAAATTCTCAGAGGCCCTCGCACCTTCTGAGAAGTGTTCGACGTCTTCGGGAGAGGCTTAGAAGACTTCTCAGAAGGTGGCGGGACTTCTGAGCCTTCTGAGAAGGTCCGCCTCTTCTCATTTCCCCCCCAGGCGTGCCGCCGACATGACGCTCCCCCGCACGAGCTCTCCGTGGTTTCTTTTGTTTGTTCTCGGGACATGTCCCTGATCTTTCGCGCTGCGGCTCAGGCTTAGACTTGGCTTTGACTGTTGTCATTGCCGTGGACTTGAGCCGTGCAGAATTTGGGTTGCCCAGATCATGCGCGAGGAAGAGGAATGTGATCAGCGCAGGAACAGTGGACGTATATCATAGATTCACATAATTCATGGAGCCGTAGAGCGAGCCCAAGGGGCTAGCTGCGATCTGGCCTTATTTGTCCTCATTCGATTCCTTCTCGTTTCCCATGCTCATGCTCCGCATGCTGTTGCTCCATGTCCTGCTCCTTCGAATTACGCTTCCATGTTATCCCTCATTCTTATAGCACTCGTCATATCTGAAGTCTTATCGGAGGGTCAGCCGCGGGCACACCGCCCGCATCTCTGTGACACTACTGAGAAGCTCAACTCCCGATAGAGTCGATTAATCGACTTTTTCGCCATCCACTTCGTGTGACCGAAGAGGTAGACGCGGGTGACATGGACGAGGAAGAGGAGGACAATGAGGAGAAGGACGTTAGGAGTAGGGTGAGGGAAGGAGGGAGGGTAGGGATGCATAGGGAGGCGGGGCGCATCCTACATTTCTTTTGCCCGGCTCTGGTCGGTCCTGCAGGTCTTACATTGCATGCACACGGATGTTTGCATCGGTTGATCGTTTCGAGGGTTTCGTTCGAACGTGCAGTTGGCTCAGTGTCTCCCTCGCGTGCCAGTGCAAGGGCTGCATTGAGTGCTGATTTCGCGGATATCGTCTGGGGTGAGCCATTCAAGTGGATCCTCCGCTGGGTTCTCGGAATCTTGTGTTTGAGCGCGGGGCCTCAAATTCACCATCGCTCATTCGTATCTAGCATCGCAGGCGCTGCGGCCTTCGAGTGCATGTCGTCCCCGATATTGTTTTGTGTCATCTGACGGGGCCACCACCACCCGAGGAAAGGCACCGACCGTACGGTGGGGGAGGTGGCCGCATCCCGCCCACGTGCTGGTGCTCGCGTGCAAGCTCTGGCGATCGCAACACACCCCCGCTTCGACGTGCCCCACCCCGCCCAAACTTTCCCGTTACCCTGTGCACCCATCCCCCCCCAAGGTAACCAAACGACAGCTCCCAGATACAACATAATGCAACATGTAGATAAGTAGCTCTTTCGGATCAAGATCGTGGAGGCCAGGATGACCTCCTCACCCTCCGCGTGCCACAGCGAGGGCCTGCCGATGCACAGGCTCTTGCGCAAAAGGCCTGCAGGCGCGCTCTCTGTCTGCGCACTCTCTCTGGCGTGCCTGTGGCTGGGGCCGGCGGGGTTCTTGGTGGTGACAGGCGCCAGCCAGCCAAGACGCCACGTGACCCCTGCGCACGCGAGTGGCGCGTGCCCGGCGCCCGTGGCCTTCGACAGCAGGTCGCTGTGCTTCGGAGTGCTGCGGCTGTCCTCGAAGAAGAAAACAGCACGGGCATAAACTTTCGGAGATCCGCGCGGATTCCTCGGATCTGTGCTGGGGCCCTCCGGCAATCGCGCCTCCCGCGTTGTTCATGGCGCGTTCTGGCGCCGATCCAAGAAGTCCGAGTGGGCCTCCGAAAGTTTATGCGTGTGCCGCTTTGTGTTCATCTGTGTCCCTGTCGGCGGCACTGGCGGCACGCGTCGCAGCAGCTTGCCGAGGCCACCATCGGAGGAGGGCCAGTTTGAGAGAACGGCGGCTCTCCCGCCCACGCGTAGCCCGAATCTGCTCAAGATCAGTCCCCCGACCTCTCCTGGGCTTCATCCTGAGCCGGGTGTCGAGGCGGATCCAGCCGTGGCGACGAGAAGCCTCCAGGCGGCCCAAAAAGGACAAACATTGGGCGGCAGCTTACAGCTGCAGCGTGCTGCCAGCCTCCTCGCAAGAAATACTCTGTGAAGGGAAACAAGATTCCTAGCCCACGCTCTACCGCGGCAGGGCGCAAGGACGGGCCGCACCAGCAACTGGCACTGCGCGTCCGCACAGTTCGGCCTCCTTGTTGCGTCGCCAGCGTCTCCTGAGGTCTCCGAGGTTCCAACGGCCTTCTGGCAAGCTGTCAGACATCACGACGGCACGAACATGACAAGCAACCCGCGTGATTTACGCAACAAAACCGGGTCGTCTGTGTCGACATTGGCGCGTAAGTTGTCCGCGTATGCTTGCGCGTAAGCGCCCTCGCCTCCAACGTGGCGTCCCGCGCGGGCGGCCCGCGTAAGCCACCGCGTAAGGTCGCTACACCATCTCTCGTAAGACTCGTTTTTGATCGTCGCTCAAGTGAGGGTCGTCGTTGTCTCGACGGGCCCTTCTTCGACGTCCGCGCCGCTGGCGGGAGCAGGTCGTCCGGCGCCGCTGCGGCGGGCACGCGGCCGCACAGTGCCCGCTGCAGTGCGCGCGGCTCCCTGCGCAGGAGGCGGGCGGCTCCGAGAGCCCGGGGCCGGCTCCGGGGCTGGCATACCCGGCTGCACCGTAAGAGTGACCACCCGCGGGAGTGGCCTTTGGTGCCCGCTGGGGTCCCCCGAGGCTGTCTTTAGGGTCAAGAGGGCGGTCGGGCCCGCCCGCCCCCTTCAAATCCCTGGATTATTTGGCCTTGTCGGCTGCGCAGGTCCGAAGGGGTGCGCAGTTTTGGTGCGTACGGGTATATGAAGGGCTGCCCAATGCGAGAAGGTTAGATCATCGGCCGCCCCCCCCCACGGGATAGCCCAGCTTATCGCCGCATAATAAAGAATGACCTCCCCGATCGTTGAACGCGTTACGATAGCAGCGGTTTGCGTTGTTGGGCTTGGTTTCCGCGCGCACCCCCGAAAGCCGCGCACCTGAGGTCACTCTTGTTTGGGGCTCGCTCTTGCGTGCAGCCGACATACTTCTGGACGTTCCTCTCGAAGAAGGGAAAGCGGCATCAACAACAAACTGTCGGAGGTCCGCCCGGATTTCTTAGATAGGGGCTGGGCCCCCTCCTTGGCGCGCGGAGCGCGCCAGGGGCTGCGCCAGAGGCGCCGCTAAGGGGGGCCCCGGCGCCGATCCGAGAAATCCGCACGGACCTCCGAACGTTTATGCTGGTAGGGCTTTTGGTGGGGCTGTGCACAGGCAGACCCCCCAGGTAGTCCTGGCTGGCCTCCACAGTCTGGGGCGGACTCAAACACCCCAACCCTGGGGCGCGGAGCGTCCCAGAGGCGCCGCCGCAGGCGGCGTGTCGAGACCGCCGCGGGCGGGCTACTCGTTTGGCATGTTGAGGCCAGCCTGGAAAACCCTGGGGGGTCTGCCTCCAGGCATGCGATGCTTTGATGTTTTCAATGCGGCGTTCCAGCGGGCGCGGAAGCCCAGACCCTGTCCCCAGGGCCAGTGTTTCACCCCGACTCGTGGTTTTATGGACTGGGTACCCGGC